AAAGTTCGCAGGAATCCGTCGGAGAATATCGCAGCGTGCCATCAGGGTATGTAGAGCAGGGGTGGCCAACCTTTCTGGTTTCGCGGATCACTAAGGCCTTGGCGACGGGGCCCGCGGACCATCAAGCTATAGGTCATATGTTTTCGAATCGGAATACGAGAACGAACTCATCAAGCGCGCCGTCTCGTATCCACTGAGCCTTGTGCAGCACGTGCGGCTGTCTCATCACTTGCTGTGCAGGCAACGGAGTCCTCGTTGCGAAGGTCACAGGCCGCGTTCAGATATAATCGACGTCTCTTCCGGAAAGTTCTTGAGGTGCTCCGCGGACCAGCGAAATCTTAGCGGTGGACCACAGGTGGTCACCAAATTGGCCACCCCTGATGTAGAGTATCCGAAGCGAGCCGCACGCAAGGGGTATCTTCCTGATGTTATGGTGTCGAGCGAAGTTTTCCGTTAGGTTCTGCGGGCCGGTCAGGAATTGGCTCGCGGACCCAAGACGAAAACTAGCTTGAGCTCAGAAAAATATACGAACGCTCGTAACAAAGCAAACTTCGGAGCCAAGTCGTGAAATCCGAAATTGGCGGTTGATGGTTACGGCTGCGAGCGTCCGACGACGAGAAAATGGCCGGGGGAATGTGAATAGTTCCGTCCGGACAGAATAACTGCGGAGAGTGACTTCTGTTGAGCTAGAAGATTAGCAGATGGACAAGGTCGGATAGAACAAAAGAAACAGTCGATCGATCGCTTGTTCGATACGAGTGGCTGCCGGATCGACAAGAATTCAATATCGCGAAAAATCGAGCCTGTCAATGGTCGTCAAGAGTATCGACCCAAGGAGGGTATGGCATTCAACTTTCGATCGTACGTGAACGATCGATGTTGGGCTCTTAGATATCTCAAGGGGCCGTGCTAGGAACCTGAGGTAGATAACGCGCGCGACGGAATCACATGTATTCTCTGCAGTTCCGCGATGAATAATGTGGAAGATGAGGACGGTGCAGGCTAAGGGCACCCCGAGTCGAAACAATAACGTCGGCGTTTGTAAAGCGTATATCAAATACGTCGAGCCCGGAGTGTCGGCAAGTCAGTCGGCTATATGAAAGCTCAGAACGCAAGCATTATAGATATGGAATCGCCTTGAAGAAATATTGAATTGGTCTCTCCAACTTTCGCTGGAAATTTATCAGGCGACCGCAGTCGCTTTCACAGATCGGAACTGGACGAAACAGGACCCAGAAATGTCTGAATGGAGCGAGCTACTATCGAGTGCCTGCGGGTAGCTGGCAAATCGCTCGGTCAGCAGTAATTCTGGACAACAATCAATCCAGTGGCGGAAAAGTCTCCGTCTATACTGGTGACGCCAAGTCGTCCATCAATCGAACGCTCTCACATCATCCAACTTTGTCCGGCTGTGTCTTTATACCTCCTGAACTAATGAGTACGCTAATGACTATCAGTGCCAGTTGGAGAGCCGCCATCATAGGTATGTGCATGTCCGCCCAGCCATTGAGTCACTGCTCCGTATCGTATTTCGCTCCGTTCCTACGCTGACTGACTAGCTGACGGACTGACTGACTGACCGGCCAGCTCGCTAGCCAGCCTTGGCATTGCCGCATCAGGAAAACATTAGGAGGAAGCCCGGCATCACCTAACTTACTTCACGCGCAAGGACACCTTGAACTTGTCCGCTCACAGCCTTGGCTCAACAAGCTTGCTCCAGCCGGCTTGCCTGCGAGCTGTGTTCTGTTTCTTTCTACTTCCTCGACGACGACGCTCGAACAAATGGAAATAAGACGATTTTTCCCCGGTGTCCACACAGAAAATCGATGACCGTTTCCCAGGGGATCCATAAAAACTTTTCGAGGAAAAAATCAATCTAACGGAAATTCGCCGGAAGAAACGGACTCTGGAATCGGGAAGTTGACCCAGCGACGATCGAATGCTGCACCGAGCTTAATATACCCCCGTAAGCGAAGCTGAACGTAACGTCGATTCTTCTGTTCAAGTGCGCTGGTATGGTTCCGGCTGGGAGAATACGTTGTCCTGCAGAACACTTTTGGTCGTACTCATCATGAGGTCCGGACCTTCATCTTAATCAGTCCCCGACGGCATCGAGACTTATCGGGATATTCTACCACAAAGCATCAATTCCCTGGCGACCCACGCGAACTGGGGTCTTTTCTGCGCCCTTCATTGTTCTCGGCTCTCATCTGTGACATCTGGGCCGCGCACGCGTCAACGCAGTTTGCATTCGCAGCGGCTCGAAAGCACGGCAATCGTAGAGTTCCCCCTCTGAAACTTTCCACTCTCGATATCTTTGGGAGCGAGAGGAGCGCGCCGTCCCATCGACGAGCCTAAGCGACGGCTGCAATGGCTTCTGCTAAAAACCTCTAGGATCGAAAACAATCCCCGCCTGAATTCCGGCCCCGTCGTGCTTTCGACATTTTCCATTCAACGTTCCATCGGGAGCAACCAGACAGCTGGTGCACGTTCTCCGAATCCGTGAATAATCTCTCATTCATGAGAGAGCTTCGAATGAGGTCCTATCAAGCGCAGTCGTGGCCTTGACACAGTTCCTCAATCGGATAGACATCTCCAAAGGTCGACAAAAAAGTTCAATACAGCCAATGTCGCAGTTGGTAGTCTTCTCCAGTAGGACAACCTCCCTCGGTCATGCTCAGAATATTCTCGACGTGACTCTCGATATTTGAGCTCGACCGGAGCTCGCAGTCGAGGACTTGAATGCCTTCTCACGTCGATCGGAGCTTCAAGGCCCCGGTCTGAGCCTTCCCGATCCTGGCACCTACCAATCTGAGTCCCGTGAATTTAGGTCGACGCTAACGACTTGTACGCGTTTGACTTTCCCGGTGGGACAAAAAAAATCTCGGGAGTGGGTCTCACACGCTTCTGCTCTGACTTTCATAGGACTTGGGAGACTCAAACAAGAACAGTCACGATCTGGAAGATCGAGTTGTTCAAGCTAATGTCGAAGGGCTTACATGCCACGAATCTCCCTGATCTGGCAGCCGAGCTGATGATAAACAACGGAGCCGCGCGGTCCCCTGTATCGCATATCTGAAGGAACCAAGAGATGTGTGCTGTAGAATAATCACTAGCCGACGATGCACTAAGGGACTTCTTATCGTGAAGGCTACCTTGAATGTTTGAGAAGAGAAAACGCCGTCGGAGCTGTTTCTGCTCCTCCGCCCTCCCATAGCTCCAGTCGTCAGACAGCGGCCAGCCAATATTAATGCTGAATTCTAACTTCTTCATCCGACGTCAGCCCACCAAAGGAGTTCTGCGTTCAGAAAATCATGAGTTGTTTGGGAAGACGGTCAAGGCTAGAGGGCTTCATTTTGCTCAGAAATGGAATCAACCCTTCCGAGACCTAGTTCTGTCGGCGCTGATCATTGTCATCGATGAAGCCTTCTGCCAATCTACATCTTGCTTGCAACTCGCGACCGTCACCCTGATTCTTTGCAGTCGGTGCAAATGTCGCGAGACCCTCCATGCTAAGGAGCTCAACCTGCTTGCGAAATCGCGATCGGAAATTTTCGTCTTGAAAACACTTTCCGAAACTCAATCGGAGATCCAAATAGTATCGGACCCGGACTCCATTGGATTCGATTCCCCAAGAATACCCGGGACTTCGAAGAATCGGAAATCGTTAGCCAGAGGAACGTTATTCTCCTATCTCGGATGCCAGCCACTATTTCGAGTACTTCTACGGTCTCCATCCCAGGCTTTTAGTTCAGATGTCAACGACCACGTCTCATGCCGATTCCTCCCGACGAATTCATTTTCGGTGTCGCAGCTCGTGATACATCGCCCTAGGTATGCATGCGCCTGCCCTTCTGCTTGCGTCATGCTTTCTCGACGTGTTTCTGCAGAGCTGTCTGCCGTGTGGGCATAGATACCGCGAAACGACACAAACCGAGAAAGCAAATTCATACACCTAGCACAGTCCTTCGGCCGGATGAGCCGCTGTCGGTTTAGTGATTAATGGAGGATTCATGGGTGGGAAAGCCTGATTCAATTCGCCCGGTGATATATTGTCACCACCGTCAATAACTCAGCACAAAGGTTAGGACGTCATCTGCTGAAAACACGCTCTCGGAAACCCGCGAGCTCATCGATTTTTCGGCGGGTGTATCCTCTGAGCGGAAGGCGAAACCGACCACTGGAGCGCCACATCCGGATATTCCGCGGCTGGAATGGGACTGTGCTATACCACAGGCCCTCTTCTTCAGCCCCCCGAGCTCAGCGGACGGAATCATCGAAAGGTTCGATTTTCCGCGCACAAGCGCTAAGCTCCTGATATTTGACGCCGGAGTAAGTCTGCATTCCGAAATCCAGCTCCGGATTCCGACGTACGCGCCGCAGATCAGCTCGAAAGCCTCGAGCAGATGCGGATTTGTGGTGGTGTACGCCTGGGAACGGATGAAACATATCAGAGCATTTAGGATTAGGGTACGGCGGAGGCTTGGATTCCAAGTGGCTACCGGACGGCAGTGCGTCCGTTTTCTACCGGAAAACCGGCGAGGAGGCGCCCCGCTGGAAAGTAGACCAAGACAGAGGGTTTTTCCGACGCGGCACCGTTTGACTCGCCGGCTGCGGCGGTAGCGGCGGGTACTGCATTTCGAAACGGCTTCGGTCATCGTTTTTTTTCATGGTCAGAACGAAGCCACAATGTTGCAATCAGTAATGCGCCCCGATCTGATTCCCAAAAATAGATCAGCGCGTCGTCGGGCGCCGCGACGACATAAGACATCTTCTGACAGTCAATGTGGAAAGCGATACCATGTTCGATGCGATCCATTATTTACGCTCCGAGTAGGCGCCCTGGGTCTAAACACCCGGGCCCGGTGTCGGTCCGTTAGTCGGCAGGCGGGGCGGACGGGCGGGTCTGCCGGCCGACTTGCAGGTGGCGCAGTGGCGGGGCAACGTCCGCGCGACGGCGGTCAGCTTCAGAGAAAAAAGGAGAAAAAATGTTCACTTGCAAAACAACGTTACGTAATGTTGCTCATTCGAAAGAATTTATTTCCTTTTTGCTTGATCCATTTACTCCGGCTAAAGGTTTCGGGATAGATACACTTCAAGTATATACACAACATAATCTATACAAATATACACAGAGGTCTACGGCGGAGCCTGAGTGAGTGACACGACGAGGCGTGACACTTTGCGGTGCTCCCGCCGCGTTTGTACCAAAGAGAGGGTGGGGGTGTTCGCCGATGCTCAGTCGAATCGACGGCGTACGGTGCGAGATCCGACCGCATCCCCACCGAGATGAGGTCCTCCATGCTTATGGCGTAATTTACCAGCCGTGCTCGACGTGGACCTTCTCCTTCTTGATGTAGACCGGAACTCCGACCTCGACGGGCTTCTTGACGATGACCTCCTTGAAGACTGGAACCTTGACGGGCACGGAGACGGGCTGAGGAACCTTAATGATCTTGTGCACCGGCACGGGGATGTACTTGGGGACCTAGAAATGCGACAATTAGGCTAATGCTGTCCGAGACACTTTTTGGTAATGAGGCTGAAGAGATATTTTTAATCGTTCTACTCGCTCGCGGACCGACCGACGCTCTCGTACTCACCTTCACGGGCACGGGAACGTGCTTGATGACAGGCACCGGCACATGCTTGTAAACGGGCACGGGGACATGCTTGTACACGGGCACATGGACCGGGACCGGAACGGGGTGGGGCACGGGGTACGGCTTGGGAATGTGAACGGTCTTGTGGACATGCACGATCTTTGGGATCTTCTTGATCACTGGCACTTTCACGGGGACTGGGTACGCTTTTGGCACGTGGATCACATGGGGAACCGGCACGAACTTGTGCACTGGGTAGGGCTTAGGAACGGGCACCGCTTTCGGTACCGGGACAATTTTGTGAACGTATTTGACCACCTCGTGGACGTGAGCGTGAGGTTCCCAACCGTGGCCGGCGTAAGCCGTGGCCGCGAAGAGGGCAGTGAGCACTACGACTTTCATGTTGTGTTGGCTATCCACGATAGACAATGTCGTTATCGAAGCAGCCCCGTTATATTGGCGATGGCAGCCGTCTGACGTCAGCCGGGCCACGATTTCACTTTCGCGAGCAAGGTCGTACGATCGGGAGCATCGTAAGCGAAAGAGCGCGACGTCCGCAGGCCGACCGCAGTTTCGGACACGGCGAAATCCAACGACGGGCCGCCGGAGAAAATGAAGAAAACTCGCCCTGCCGGTGCGACTCGCCGCGTCGAGGCTCCGAGGAGGCCGGGCGGAACGTTGGAGTTCGTCCGAGAGATTTATGCGAGGATATCACGACTTCGCGAGCGCAAGCTCGTATCTCGTCACCGCGTACTCGTCGCAGGCAATCGCGAACTCATGACGAAATGGAACCCCGTAATTGACGGAGCAAGGAGATCGGGGTTTGTGGTCCTGGAGTATACGAAAGGATCAGTGCTCGTAGATGCCTTGAAGAATATTCGCGATAAATGTCTCAAGCTACTTTCTCCTGAACAGAAGGATCTGTATTCCTCGGGGGAAGTAATCTACTCTCTGGGTTTTCGCCGGGTCGATTGCTCGGCCGTAGAGAGTCAGAGAAAAATAAGCGTTGGAAGAGAGTAGATTCACCGCGTCGGCTCCAAACACGGCGTCTCCGTCGTGCCCGGAGCTTCCTACCGGGAAGTAACGTTGATTTTTTTGAGGATCCGGAGTCAAACAGAGAATCGTGAACTCACTATCCGCAGTCCTCGAAACCTAGGCGCCGCGGGGGTCCGCTTGCTTTCAAAGATTTCCCAAACTCAGTTCCGAGCGAATATCACGGCTACTGTCGTCGATAGAGCTCTCCTGCTTCCCCCCGATTGGGAGGTGGAACTTAATGGGATTTACCCGCTCTGAATCCCCCATGACCGCACATGCTTCCTCTCGTTCATGATTGAGAGTCCGAAAAAGGTCTCCCACGAATCCCATACGGCGCGTCGACCTACGGCCTCAAGCAGTCCCCCATTACGGCTATAGATTTACATACATAGGTAAAAAGTACACCAAACTTCGGCGTGTACGGACGGCTTGATCTGCAATGCTTCTCTGATAGAACGAATGATAACAATAACATTGGAGAAACAACAATGCGCGGAATCAGATTTGAATTATTCGCAATGACTTTTCGTAAGAGTTCTGTTCGGCTATTCGATCGAATCGTTGAGATCTATTTGCGGCGAAAGATCTACAGGTACCAAGAGCAGCGGATCTGAAGCTTCGACGCTCACCGACTGCCATCAGCGGCACCGCTCCGGACACCGTTGACAAGCTGCTCGCTGGTGTCACTGAACATGTTGGCACATCGTTGCTGTTGGCTTCAGCTGTCTCGCGGTAATTATTCCGGCATTAATTGTGCGTCTGTGTAGCCGATAGCTCAGATTAGCGCCTGGTATTCGCGCGTAGAACGCTTGTGTTGCAAGAAAAAAAATTGTGCCTCCACCGAGCCATGTGAATAGTGTGCGTGTTGAGGCATTTCTCCGAGAGTTTCTTTGGTCGCCGCTGGGATGTATCTCACGTAGATGGCGGACAGGATCCTGAGCTAATCCTACTGGGACAATGACGCATAACTCTCCTCTATGATATCTGTGCAGAACAGATCTACTCCGAAACGAGTCAGATCTCAGAGCTAGTCCTGATTCGCCTACCCTCTGTGGGAGCTTGGGTCACATCAAATTCTGATAAGTGACAGCATCTAAAGGCTTTGACATCTAGATGGATCGATGGTTGCATAACTTCACTCTTAAACCGTGAAATAAGCAATCATTTCACCAACGTCTCGTACCGCTGGTCGAAGCCTCTCACCACGCTGCGCCCGAGGATACGTAGAATCGATCAGCCACGGTACGAACACTGTGGAGCGATTAATTGACTTAGATCGCGATACTTCGACAGGCTTCATTCCCCATTGATACACCTGCAATCAGAATTGCGCTTTGTTCTGCGGATTGGGGATATCGGAACCTCCCTGTAATCGCGTTTCCGACGCTAGATCATTGATGTCTCTGTACAGCTCCAAGTTCTGGGGGCCGACAGCGTCAAAGTTCATCGGGCGCGTCAGAGAAGACTCAATCGGATGCTCGCAAAGTTCCTCCCCCTCCCTACGGAAGTCATTTCCCCCACACAACGACTCGATGCACGGAAAAACGTGGCTTCGTCATTTCGGAACCGAAACGTCGGAAGAGCTCGGGTTCAGGAGCACCACAAATTCAGGGAAGGGTGTCCTCTTGGACGCCAGGACACAAGGCTCGTCTCTCACCACCATCCCTAGTCCAGGCACTGAGCTCCCCAGAATTCTGTGACCGGAAGCCGATGAGAGGGAGAGATCTTCGAGCCTGCTAGGCTCTGTGTCGCCTTGCTTTTGTGACGAAAGCCTGTTCCGGTCGTGGTCTTCGCAAGAGAGCCATTCATCCCTTTCACTTGAAGTGGCGAATTTCGGAGCGAAACCACAAGCGAACCTAGCCTTCAAGCTTTGAACGAAGTTCTTCAAACGATGAAGGAAAGCACTCGTCTGTCATGGTCGGTGTTGATTCGAGTCAGCTGTCAGAGGAATCGCGACATCTTAGGGCGTTTCATCGACATTCAAAATGGTAAGAGCCGTCCCTCGGCTCCATTCGCCTCGGTTCATTCAGTTGCCCCGTCCGTCTGTCCATTATTTGATTTGCTTCGTTTGTGGCTAGCGGACGGTGTTTGCTCCGAAATTTTCTTCACATCAAAATTCCTTTCTCGAAACTACCGCAAGAACGCCATCGAGCAGCAACGACCGCAGCGATAAAGCGTCGACAACAAGGCTCGCGACGCGTATTGCCCAAGCGAGCATTCGCTTGCTCTTCTGTGACCCAGCAAATCATCTGAGGAACGGCAGAGTTATTGCGAAGCGCTACATACGTGACGGAAGAACCATGCCGCTTCAGAAACTTCTTGGACTGTTCCGCCGGCGAAGCATATAGAAGAAGCTCGGAGCTACCTCAGCCGTGGCATCCCGATTGCGATGCGGTGTGGCTGAGGGGATCGAGTATCGACTCGGAGGATTCGGCAGAAGGAAACGCATTGATTTTCCGAAATTCTTCTCAGGAGACGACCAGACTCGAACGCGACTCTCCTTCTCAACTTTTCCCTCTTACTTCATCCGTCCCGGGTTTCGGCACGAAGGTAGAAGTGAGCGTACCCAATCTCCAAGCAACATGGGTCATGAATAGATTGCGCCCGTCGATCTCTCCGGGCTTTCGTATATGTGCATGCTCCGACGATGTGTACTCTGAGCCCTTGTCGAGCCCCAGCTCATTGCTCATTTGGACCCGGATAACATTCAGAGCTCCCTAGGCGAAATCATCACTCCTCTTGATTGAGGTCTCTGACGTAGATTCAGCCCGGATGAAGCTCAGCTCTCGAAGCCGGATCCTGAGGCTAGCCAAATATTCGCCTGTCCGCACTTCACCATTGAGGTCGGCCGGGGAGATGATCTTAGCGGTCCCGATGAATTCAGCAATTCTAATTCTGTTGGAGGACTGCCACGGTGAAACAATTATGTGTTTTACAACACATAATTGAAAACGTGAAACAATTACGTGTAGGTGAGAATCGCACACTGAGACCGTGAGGAAGGATATCGGAACTCATCAGGGAACCGCTCAGAGCCTCCGAAGACAGACATCTCCGATGTGGACGCCCGCGCTGGGAGTGCTAGAATACGTAGAGCGCTAGCTACAGAGGCACAAGGGAGCCTGGGCCCGCGAAGTTCCGAGTCTCCCGTGAAGTGTAGAATACTACGTAAGGGAGCGTTCGAGTGCCTCCTCGGAGTCTCTCGCCTGGAGCCGACTGAAGGATCAGTGAGGATCCTCACAGATCCACATAGAAGATTCATGCTGATTAAAGCTCATCTAAGTAAGAGCTGCTACCTGTTGCCGCACGAAGGAAGTACATATATCCGATTGTTGATTCGTCCAACTGCTGTGAAGACACGTATAGCGAGTTCCGAACATGATCCGACCGTGTTTGACACCAGTCGATAAGAGACGCTGCGATAAACGCTTTCTGAAGGCGAGAGGACGACTCCATGATGAGACGGTTTGATTAAAACGATAAGGGTGTTACGTATACGCGGATCAGATGCTGGAAGTGACACTGTCACAAGGCGAACGCTTCTTCGCAAATACGCAATTTTTGGCGTCAGTACGGATTGCCTTTGCTAATCAGTCGTTTCCGTTTCGGCGAACCCTACGCCGATACATCATCATCAGCGGAGACATCGCTTTCCGCGAAGGCAAAAATAGGGAGACGACGCGTAATTATCCCTCAGCTGTCGAGGGAAAATCAGGGTCGAGCTTCCTGGGCCTCAAATCTTTATGGGAGTTTGATTCTTCTAGACATATCCAGGGTCATTATCCAGATGCATTTTGAACGATTCCTTGCTTCGAGCAATTCGGCGAATTTCATCAGTGAAAATGGGTGAAGTCCCTGTATCCAAGGAAAGTTTCCGCGATCGGATTCACGATTCACTCGATGCTCGCCTTTTCAGAAGCGGCTCATGAACTCCTAGACGCGTTCTAATCGCGATAAGCCGCTCGAATAATTCAGACGTTTCCTCTTGGCCAGAGGACGCTCTGATGGGAACTCGTTTTCCACCGACCGCAGCAACGGAACTTGACTCTACGTTCCTCCGATCTTCCAGCGGGGGGAACAACTGCCTAAAGTTGGATATTTTCGGAGAAATGCGTCGTATCGGTGGGCATTCGAAGCATAACGATTTTCCGTCGTTTGTTTCGATGGTGCGCTGCCCCTTGATGATCATATAAGTCCGGACAACGGCGTCGGACGAACCTTCCTCTTCGGTTTTGATTCTTTTTGCTCCGTTGCGGAGCGATGTCGGCGTCGGTCGCATCGGAAATCCGACGATATACTTCCGAAATGAATTTTCCGATCCCTAACGTTAATAAACGATAAGCGGAGTCGTGATGCGGCCAAGAGCTCGAGGGGAAGAATCCTCGTTATTCCATGAAACCTGCAGGCTAGAAGGCTTTTCACGGTCCGCGCGAACAGTCTATCCGACATGGACCTCGATTAAAACGCTTCATGAATCGTTGTTGCGAGTGAAGAGGTCCATTCTGTTCACGACAACCGGGATGCACGAATGCCTTCGGATGTTATTTTGCGACACTAACCAGCTTTTGCCACGAAGACGAAAGTGAACGAAACACTTCCACTCTTGAACTCTTCTCGGACCCGAGAGGCTGAACCTCCCCGGTCGGGTCCACGGATGGTCTTGGACGAACAACGGAGAGAGCCGGACGACGAACCGGCTCACGAATAGACGAACGGGCGGGCAAGCGGGCGGATGGACGGACAATCATAAGGAAGGAAATCCGCTGCAGGCGCAATTAGACCATCTTCGGCCGCGGCTCGAGCGACCTTCCTGTGTAATGTGTATAATGTTAGATGACCTACGACCGGCTGAATGTGATCGCAAACGTACGAGCGGTCGCTTGATAACCCACTCGCGCGCTCGTTCGCTCCTTCATCCGGTCAGTCACCGTCCGCCCCCTTGCCCGTCTTCCCCGAACAAGAGAAAATGGAAGAAAAAACATCACGGCGACGAAAGACACCGAAGAAGAAAAGCCCCTAACGAGCCGGCCGAACGGCAACAAGTAATTAACGGCTACGGTCCGGAACAACTTCGAATCGTGCGGTCCACCGTCAGAATCCGATTGGCGAAAATACGCTGCGGCATTCGTCGACATGCGGAAAAGATCTGCTCTGCGAAAACGTCAAAAATTTACGTTGACGATTATCTTGCGCTGGTGGTAGCTTAGTATTCCGATACCCGCGTTAGGCAATGCAAGAATTTGTTGTTTCGCTCGGTGACCGACACCGCGGTGGGATGTAAGGCCGAGTGTCGGGCGTTGTTGTCGATGCTGCTGCTGTTGTTGTCGACGTTGTCGTCGTGGAGCGCGTAGGAATGTTTCAAAGAATAGCTGACGGATGAATGAAAATCGCCTAGCTGTTGCTTGTTCGCCTGTGTCTTGGTGGCAGAGGTGGTGGCCGTCGCCGCTGTTGTTGTCGTTGCTCTTATAGTAAAAGTTGAAGTAGTAGTAGTAGTAGTGATAGAGGTGTGTCGTTATTGCCTCTGCCTTTGGAAGAGCGCCGGGATGGATTGCAGCGTGAAACGATAAATTATTAAGAACAAAAATTCTCGGCTTTTTGGAGCTGCAACAGATTTCAAAATCGACTCTGGAATATAATACGGTTCGATGATATTTTTTTTTTCGGCGTTTTGTTTTCGTATGAATGAGGTAGCCGGCTAGCGACGAAAGTCTTTCGGTAGAGCGCTTATGCAAGCCGTCTCGCGACCGACCGACTGTCTGTCCCATCGTTTGTCCGTATCTCCGTCTGTCTCGCTGCCCACCGGACAGGTGGAACCGAACTGGGGCTGCGGAGCGCTTCGAATTGATTCCGAAAACGTGAACAAAGATTCTAATGGCTGAATATAGATGAATGGAAGTAAGCGACTCGGAAGGGGGAGCGACTGGACGGATGAACAATTGATCTTCGGGAGCTCTTCGCGATCGAATCGGAAGAAGTTCCAGATTACGCTGCTGCCGCTCATACTTCTCTGAACACTAAAAGATCGCCAGTCTGTGGGATGTGGCGTGGTGGGAGAAGCCGCCGGCGGACCCGGAAAGATAAACAAAGAGAGATTTTTTGGAAGGAACAACGATAAGCCATGCTAGTGTCGGAAACAATGATGAAGCACAGAAAGGTGAGATACGTCGAATAGATCATAGGGACGAGGAACCAGATACGTTGAATTCCATTGAAGTGAGCTGGCAAACGCTCGGAGAAACAAGATAGCTGATTCCGCGCGGGGGGAAAACAAAATTCGGGTGAAGTTGGAAGTAAATTCACGGAATATCCAAAATTTCGCCCAGGGATGAGGAGCGGAGCTCGAACCAGAGCACTCCTGGAGACTCGGTGGGGGCAGAACGGCTGCCGAAGGAATAGACGGTGTTCGGTTGGTTTTCGATGCAGACATTTATTACAAAATACGCTCGATACGCTCACTATTTACAGTCATTACGAGAGATATATACAAGGGTTGAATCCAGCAACCCCATGAGGTTAACATTAAGGTTTGGTTTCAGAGTGTGGTTTTGGCTGCTGTGGTTTTTTTCTTTTTGGTGAATTTCTTTCGCTTTTTTTGTCTCATTTTTTCTCCATCATCCAAGATATGGTTGCTTGCTCCTGCAAGTCGCTCAATTCCAGAGTTGCTCGACTCAATTGACTGTTCACCAGCCGTGCTCGACTTTCTTCTTCTTGATGTAGACGGGAACTCCGACTTCGACGGGCTTCTTGACGATGACCTCCTTGAACACGGGAACTTTGACAGGAACAGAGATTGGCTTGGGCACCTTGATGATCTTATGCACGGGCACAGGGATGTACTTCGGCACTTTGACCGGCACGGGGACGTGCTTGATGACGGGGACAGGCACGTGCTTATAGACCGGCACGGGCACATGTTTGTAGACGGGCACTGGCACCGGGACGGGCACATGATGGGGAACGGGGAACGGCTTAGGAACGGGGACGTACTTCGGGACGTGCACAATCTTGGGGATCTTCTTCACAACGGGGACCTTCACAGGGACCGGTACGTGTTTCGGCACGTGAATGACGTGCGGTACAGGCACAAACTTGTGAACCGGGTAAGGCTTTGGCACAGGCACGGGCTTAGGCACGGGCACGATTTTGTGCACGTACTTTACAACCTCGTGCACATGGCCGTGGGGCTCCCAGCCGTGGCCTCCAGCGTCGGCGACGGCTGCGGTCGCGGCGAGAACCGCGAGCGCTCCAACAAAGATCCTCATATCCGGTGTATCCAGGTATCCACGGGCGACGATGTAACACACACAACACACTGACTGCACACTGGCCAGTCGACGTTGCGCATCGGTTAAATAGCCGAAGACGTGTGGCTCGAGTCGTGGCCGCTGTCGCAGCACTTTCTCCGTCCGAAGATCGCGCGCGCGCCTTTCTTCCACTTTCACCAAGCCCCGCCGCTTGTATCCAACCAGGTTCGCTCCCTGTCGAAGGGGTCCGCTCGCGGCCCGGCTAGCTGGCTGTCTCGCCTGCCCGCTTGACCGCTTGTCTATTTGCCTGTTTGTCTAGAGCTTGCCTCGGTCTGTCTGGAAATGTCAACACCTGGCCTAATCGGCGTACGCGAAAATGTACGCAAGTGCCAGCTGACCGACGGGTTCCCGTGGGGGTAAAGGGTTGATAAATGACTTCGATCCGGAGTCGACGACTCGCAGAGCTCGTGCTTAGAGTCGGATACGAAGAAAATTGCGTTGAGTCGTGCCACAGTGCTCCGACTCAAGCTCGCTCTGGAGTTCATAACGAAACGCGACGAAGGGATTTCGGTACCGGTTCTATCTATGGTCGTGCGTTGTGCATTTTCCCCTTCGAAGGAGCGGTCCCAAGTCCCCGTCCGGGCAGAGCTGCTGCGAGACGCCACGGACGCTACTTGTATCGGAGCCGACGGTCAAGCGATCACCGATCGGCATCCCAACGATCCGAGCTGGTCGTACGAAGCGCTATTCGTACCCTGCCCACTTGACCCCATGGCAAGCGGGTCGGAACCTTCCTCGGATGATTTCCTGCTTACAAGATCAGGTGATCTTCTGCCCCACACACTGCCGTACCTAAACTGACTTGATTAGAGTCAACCGCAGACACTGAATTCGATCTTAATTTTTCGACGAACAGAGCTGTTTATTGCCGCCGCCTGCGTATCGAACGGACGATAGCGCCGACCGCCGGTCACGATCCTCCGGTCGTCTGGCTCAAGGAACGAACGGATGGCCAGCCGGTTGTTTGTCAGATATGTGGGCACACGGAGCAAAACAGTGCTAACGAACTCAGCTCGCATCTCGGGCTTCTATTTCAACATCAATCCATCGATATGTGAGCGTTCAGTGTGTTTTCACGAAGTTCAGTCGAAGCTCCGTGGCGGCAGAGCGTCCGTTCGATGGCCCGTCCGATACTTCAAAAAGTCATTCGTTTCTCCATTCGCTCGCTCGCTCGTCCGTTCGGACATCGGTACCTCGTGTTATCTTCTTTCCCAATTAGATCCCGAATACGTGTGCCACGGCCGTCCCCATCGGTGAAGCCACTGCTCAAACGCTAACGACAAAAAAGAATTCCCACCGCAGGAAATGACCAAAAGCTCCCACGCGGTTCGGCGTCACTCCGATTATGACAGCAACTAAAGCAGCGGCCGAATCAGCGATTGGTGCTGTCTTAAGCGTACTCTTTGTTGTTCATAACGAGCGATTTTCTCTTTTCGGCGCCACACAGCTGTTTAATCCTCGCGTCTGTGGACGAATCACCAAACATTACGGCACCGACGTCCTGTGATCCGGCGAAATATCCCAACAATTTTTTTTCTCCACAAAGTGATCGAAAGCCCGAGATGTTGCTAGCTCATGAACGTAATGAAGGCTATGATGACACTCCCTCGTCATTGTGAAAGTATATCGTACTTTTATTTTCCGTTTGTTCGCACATTATCGTCGTCCTGATCATCCTCATCGTGATCATCGTTCCCGTCATCATCTACAACAGAAGGAGTTCCCCGCTTGCATGATACACAAAAGCATACATACGCTACCACACGTCGGTCGATCAAACGGCGATAAGGGACCGCCAGCGGTCGGATCGGTCGCCTCCTGACCACAATGCCGTCTACAGGAACGATATAAGTTAAAATAAAGGAACAACGATAAGTTAGAGCGCTTGCTCGTCGTGGTCGGCGACGCTTTCTCTCGATTTGCCAACACCGAGAAGGAACGAAGAAGTGAATGTCGAAGACAAAAGACGAACCGAACAGCAACTTCCAACAACAACAACAGCGACGACGTCGACGAAAACAACAACACCAACAACAACGATGGACGTTGGTAGTCCGAACAATGGACGAAAGCGGTGCCGGCCGCCAATCACTGACAGACTGAGTGGTCACGGGCTGAGGACTAGAAAAGACTGGAGCTACCCTCGGGTTTCCGGACTAGTATCACCTTCATCCCCTACCAGCCGTGATCCTTCTTCACGTAGATTGGGACCGCGACCTCCACGGGTTTCTTCACGAGCACCTCCTTGAACACTGGGACCTTGATCGGCACGGCGACCGGGTGGTGAATCTTGATGATTTTGTGCACCGGCACCGGAACTGCGATCTCCTTGCGCACGTGAACAGGATAATGCTTCACCACTGGTACGGGCACGTTCCTGTATATGGGTACCGGAACGTGCTTGAAAACAGGCACCGGCACGGGCACTGGCACCTGATGAGCTACGGGATAAACTCTAGGAATGGGGATGAATCTCGGCACGTGTACGATCCTGGGGACTTTCTTGTAGACTGGGACTCTGACGGGAACAGGCACCGGTCGCGGAACGGGTATGACGTGAGGTACGGGCACCGCTTTATGCACGGGGACAGGATGAGGTACCGCCACGGGTTTCGGTACCGGGATCACTTTGTGCACGTATTTGATGGCGTGAGGTATTTGCCACGCTTCTTCTATCGTGTGAGCTTTGAATCCGTGACCGACACCAGCTACAGGGTATCCTCTGGAACCGTGACCAACGACTCCGGGGTATCCTCTGAATCCGTGACCGACAGATCCGTGATATCCTCCGAATCCGTGCTGGATACCGAAATTGTGACCGTACGTCGGGCCATAGCCGAAACTCTTCATGAGGTCGCCGTGATGATGCCATCCCGTGTGGAGCTCGGGATGGGCCGAAGCCCCGACGAGCAATAACGCGCACGCGAACGTTCTCATTTCATTCATCGACTGCACAAGTGCATATGACTCGTCGAACACTGGCGCCCATCGTGTTATATACACTAAAGTACGCCCTTGCGAATTCTTTCTTTCTTGCGTCGGGGATTCCCATGTGGGTGTTGGGTTTGGCCCAGTGCTGGGCATCTCCCAGCTGACAGCATTACGACATTGGAAATGAAAAAGAGCGAAGAACAAGATCAGGTATGACCGAGGAACATATTTCGGGGGTTCCTCAATCGCGTCACGCTCCTCGCGTGGCTGAACAGAACGTCAGTTTAAATCGGCTAGAATGATTCTTTTCGAAAGCGAAAATCCGGAAGATGCTTGAAGGGATTCAATCTGGAAGCCGGCTCGATTTCTAGCTGATACCTGCTTAAGCATTGAGCTGATGTCGACGTGCGTCTATTCGGTTCGCCTCTGATAGCTTCGCTTGCTCCTCTATTGGATACTCCTTTCAATAAATTCATCGCTCAATATCCCGCACATTAGTGAGTCAATGAGGTAAGCGAGCAAGTCGACTCCGGAATCTGCTCTCTCTTTCTCCGGAGCGGCCTGATTAGGTAGGTGCTCCATCAGAAGCGATGTGCCGGTAACTCCGAGCACCGTTGATCGAGCTTTCGCGTCGTGAAAATGCCCGATATCAAGGGCATTTCCCTGTTTGCCCCATTCTCATTTCTGTCTCGCTTCGTTCCAAGATAACGCGACCGCCCCCCCACCCACGGTCACGGGGGAGCTCCGTGATATTTCTGTTCGATATGCGGTCCCGCGAGAAAAGGGGTACAACATTTGTCGAGTGCTCACTCTTTATCTCCCGACGTTTCGGACAGCGAGAAGTTGCCGACGTCTGAGTCCTCACATTAGAATAACTTGATCTTTGTCATTGCCATCATCATCGCCGCGATGGACGCCATCACGACGGCGGTGATCACCATCATCATTGCATGACACTTCACAATGGCAAATGTTTTCCAAGATTGGAGTCGTTGTCGCGGTCGCGGCTGCCGTCGTTGCGACGGAAACAGCCGGCGGCGGTGCGGCGGCAGGGAAGACCAACGCCGCCCGGCGATCTAACGAAGAAGGTGACCAGCGAGAAAAATGGAACGAGCGGACCAAGCGGTGAAGTAATCCGCTCGCGCTCGAGGAATGACAGCTGAGAAATCGGTCAGCGATAAATAAGTAACTGCGGCTTCGAATATTCGACTCCGATAGATTCAGGAGCCAAGGGGCATCTGTCCAGGGATTTGTCCATCGAAGCAATGGCGACAAGGAGAGCCATCGACTGCACGAGCAAACGAAATAAGCCTCAAAACGGCGGCGTTATCGGAAAACGACGATACTGATCTTGTTGTTCCTCCGTCTGCGCTTCTATCCCTGGCTCAGACACCGAAGCGAAGACCGAAAGCGTCCAGCTTGCCGCCTTTTCATCGGATCGTTGGAGAAATCGCTAATCAAAGCCAATGAGGAAGTACGGGAACGAGTGTATCGTCTGAAATGGGGAGGAGCCGGCCCGGCCGGGTCGCCCACCCTCGTATACGGGCTCGAGGGATCCATCGCGGGGAAAATTCCCCGGAATCCGACCGGGTGGGGACCCAGGCTGCCCCCCTCCCCGTCCCCGGTACGCCCGAAACGGGTCTACCCATACGGTGGGGAACGAGCTCCCCCATCCTCCCTACCCCTTTTCCGATATGGGGTGATGATGATCTTCCCAGATATCCTCTGGCCAAAAAGCGCATCCCAGGTGATACGTCATGGCGTGAACAAACATGATGATCGCTGTTGCGTTTTACGACTGCGGTTGCCGGTGCATCGCGCTGTGCTCTCGATTGCGGCCGCCGCGTCACCGCGGTCTACGTATAACGGGGCTGTTGTATTTCAAAATCTGCCGCGTGTCTGGCTGTGGGCATCAAGCCCGCCGCCGCTACCTTCGCTATTAAGTAATTTCTATTTTTACCTGTTGCGGTTTGATGTGAATGAGTGATAGCACGAGCGACCTGACGGCTACTACACGAGCGTATGGCTTGGCAGTCGGCAGCGAATACGTCGCTTATCCTGATCTTACCTCACGTTGCTGCTGCTGTG